GGAAAGAGCAAGAATGATATAATATTAACAAGTATGCTTTTCCGGAACAGTTTTAAGAGAGATAAGGTTTTCATGTATTAAATTTATGTCATTAATTTGATACTCTTTGTACGTCATTTAAATATGAAGCATTATTTTGAGTTATTTTAACATAATTATTTTAGGAAACAAATCTTTTTTTTTATTATTTTAACATTAACATAAGTTAAAGTGAGTATTCGGATAATCATAAACTTTGGCATATAAATATAGTCAAATAAAATCAAATGTTTCCATCATGAATAATTTAAGTTAAAGTAATCAATTTCATATATTTATGTAACATGAGAAATATGTTCTTCAGAGTTATGTTTAAATGTAACATTTATTTTATTTACTTCATACAAATATGTTTCAGCAACATTTTTTACAGGTTACTTTAACCACTCCTTCGCATATTTCTTAACCATTCTTTGTGTTCTATAAGTATAAATATAGAACAAAATATGCTTGTGTCACATAATTAACACGATTTCAGTGTGTTAAGAAATAACACACGACGAATACGTTATTTTAACACAACATTTACAGTGGACTCTTTAGGACATACCAAAAATACGAAAATTAACATTTTATTCTTTACTGTATAGCGACCCATTTTAGACGATAGTGAATTTTTTAGTGACTTGTCAGGTGAAGTAACAAAGGCGACTTAAGTGACCGGATGGTAGCGCTGGACTCGTCCTAACAAGGTTCTCCCGCCGCGAATGCACTTCGCATGAAGTAACGATCGCGTCGGGGCCGACGAGCAACGAATTCGTCCGAATGGGTCACGTCATGCGGTATTATAAAATATTACGCAATTTTACGATAAATAAGCGAGCCGTGTGAAGCGTCACGAGTAACGAATAAATAAATTATGACACGATTGGTCGGCCGCGTGGATGGCAAGGGCAGGTGCGCCTGTCCAAAAAGGAGAGTAGCCTCTTCGCATTGGTCCATCCGCGGTTTCCATGGACGCGAATAATCGATCTGTTCGCCGCTGACGTTTGTCTCTTCCACCGAGCATGCTCCAATGGAACCCGGCTCCCCTCGATCGGAAGGCCATTGCGTAATCGGCCCGAGTGTATTATTATGTGCGATACGCGCGCGGTGTTATTAACGGAAAATAATTTTCGCGAAATATCCCGTGAGTTTTGAAGGTTTTCCACCGTATTCGGCGGGGAGAAACCGCCGTCAACGAAGATAATTCACAATCTTCGAATGTTAGGGGAAAAATTGTCCATCATTATCGACAGACTTCATAATATGCGATCGGGAATTTCGATTATTTCTGAGACTCTTAACGACATCTATATTAACTTATGTATGGATAACTGACACCTATGATATTTATTTCACTTTTATACGCGGTAAAAACATCGTACGTCGATAACGGTCCACTGAAATATCTGTGTTACTTTAACGTGGGTGTGTGTTAAAAAATACACAAATATATCGTTAAATTAACATATTCACTTCGACTTAAAGTGGCACAAAACAATTTCAGCGGACTGTTATTTACGCGAGATTCTTCACCGTGCAAATATACCGTTTTTCGATATCTCTTCTGCCACTTCTCAATACTTTAATGCCGATCTCTGTTACTTTCACTGTTACTTTAATATTCATATTTTCGATATATTCTTCCGATCAATTTTTAGACGCGCATGTAACGACACACTCTCGCATTTACCGTAATATTATTTACAATAATTAGTAATTTAATCGTGCTTACCGATGCGATCGGTTTAATAGAACAGGAGCAGGTGGCTCTTGTAATACCCGCGATTACATAATTATTTCTTCGATTACCTATTTGTGTATACCGTTTCTGCTTCGTCGATGCTTGATATGAAATTTATTCGTAATTTAATGTCGGCTCGTAAACCCAGCTGCGATCGACCGATCTCGGATGCGTCGACCGATTTTGTTTCGAGCTTGGCTGTCAGATCGTTCAGGTAGTCTGACTCCGTATTACGTTACCCGCTGCACTCGCTCGATTGCGTTCGCTCGCACCGCCGGCCGGACGTCACCTGACTTTAACTTTGTTTCGAATTAATTGAACTCGAGGCGTCCGCGGAGAAACGCACTGGTCTCTCTCTCTCTCTCGCGCGCGCGCGCGCACACGCGGTGTTCATTAAGTAAAATTGATTGCTGTCGTATCACGAGCACGCCGAATTAGTTGAACGCTCGAGCACGACCAGTCGGTTAAATTCCGTGCTGCTGATTGATTCCCTCTCGGTAGAGAGCAGGCGTGTAAATGGGCGTAATCTGTTAGATTTGAGTCGATTCATTATAGATTAATCGATCCCAACCGAATCCAAGGTGAATTAATATTGATCGTTATCGGGACGGTGGTTAAAGCATTGATGATTAACCGAGTCGTACCATTAATCTTCAGATTAATCTCGAGTTAGTCTGAGAATTCCACCTGGCATTCGGCAGCACAATCTGGAATTCTACCTGAAATTTAGCGTCGCTATCTAATAATAATTAACCGTCTATTCCGGTAATTCTATTCCAAACGATGGCGATAACGTAATTTGGAATTCCATCTCGGACGATTAAAAAATCCGAAGTTTCGAAAGGGAACGGCGCGTCGCGAAAAGAGAAATTTTGCTTTTTGAAGTCACGCGCTGCCGGGATACGTGCGGCCAATCCCCCCCCCCCCCCCCNATTCAATGTACGACTTTTTTCCGTGCAACTTCGCGCTTTCGTTCTGACGCTTCAACGGCGGAAACTACTTCAGCGGATTCTACTCATTAACTACGTTGCACCGCCTGCAACCAAGTGCGCGCTAAAATTACTCCCGACGAGTATCAGCCCCGTCAACGACGAGAACTTGGCTCGTTAATGTGTTCGGAAACGACGTAGACTAAATTCCAAGTTCCGCAACACCCTTACGCGGATTATGTAACGCTTTCGTGGATGCACCCGGCGGACGGACGGACGGTATTGTGCAACGCGGTGATTGCAACGGGTTTACTCCCCGTAAATGACAGCGTACTGCGCGATTATGTACGACGCGCGGTAATTACGCGACAAGAAGTAGACACGACGCGTGCAGGTATAAAACGGAGGGACGAACGGCAAGATAATTACGAGTATTGATTACCTCGCGAGATCCTCCCCGCTCCTCGGTAAATTACAGTCGTGCTTTTTTTGTTTTCTTTTCGCAAAAGCTCAAGGCCCCGGCGTTGCGTATCCATGACGCGTAATGCGTTTAACCGAAAGGTTAACAATGCGAAGATTCACATCTCGGAATTCCGATTGTGATCTGTTTCGCAATGTGAAGCGCAACGGCGACAGACTTTTCCCTTTCGGTTACGAAGAGGCGGAAATTATTCTTAGGGGTGACTCCGCTGCGAAAATTACTCGTATTAAAAGCGGACATGAATGAGATCAGGACCTACGCATCGCGAAGATTGCTCCCCGCTCTGAGAAACTCCGCGTACTCGGTAAGAAGGAGTCTCGGTTCCTTTACGGTTTTATTCGTCGTCGCGACTCCGTCGATCCGATTTCCGCGAGTTTCGGAGACGCGACGAATAATCGCTAATTCCTTCTGCGCGCGCCCCGAAGATTCCCGTTCGCGGCAGTAACGAGACGAAGCTATGGGATCCGTTTCGCTTGATTCTCGATCAATGGAGAACGACCAAGAGCGAGTTCTGTTGGATGGAGGTTCGCGTACCGCGCGAACATCGAAACAGGATCCGAAGCAGTCAGCTGCCACCTCCGAGTACCAGGTGACCGGCGAGAATCAAATCGCGAAGGGCAGAGAGAGAGAGAGAGAGAGAGCTGATTTACTCATTTTCGCCCGCATACGTTATAAATTACTGTTCCGTTTCCGTCCTTATTGACGTAAAAAGGTAAACCGTAATCGCAATTGGGTGCAGGGTGACTTTTGGGGTTCGCTGCAACAGACCGCGTCCAATGATAATACGAAAGATGGCGACGTACATACGAAGCGGCAAGAGACTATTCAGCATCTCGAGGCAGTGAAATTCGCGTTTGCCAAGAAGAAGGGCAAAGATCGCGGCGGAAGAAAAGCGAATTCCGGCAAGCGCAGAGTCACATTCGCCGATCATTAAACTCGCGGCGGCTGCGAGCGTTGCGTTACGTTACATTAAAAACTGCAGCAAATGCAGATATCGTATTGCACTCGTTCGACGGATGTCCGATCGGATTTTTCCGCGTAATTAGATTTCCCGATCAAAGGCGCGAGCGGATAATGCGATTTCATCGTCGAAAAGTTTCGCCCAACCCGATATTTGTCAATGATTTATTCCCGTGTGGCCGATCATTAAAGAAATAATAATCGTAATTATCGTTCTCGTTGTTATTTATTCTAATAGTTTCGTCTAATGATAATCAGTGATTTCGTTCCGAATAGTTTCTTTAGTATTCGCGTCTTATTGACGAAATGCTCGATGGGATTCTAACGTGTGCGAGCATTCTAATGTCGCGTCGGATCGATCGGTCGTCAATTGTCGAACGCGATATCATAGAGCGATCGATCGGACACGTTCAGGTCGGTCCCTACGGCGAAATTTCCCGTCATTTTGGTCCCTCAAAATTTCAAGTGATTCAAATTCCTTGCCGATCCAATATCGGAATATCAAACCTACGATCATGAACGGATTCAGAACATGGGCGTTGCAGGATCTACTATATATTCTGTCCGCGAAATTCTTGCAGGTACTCGCAAAACTGTATCAACCTCAAAAGCGTTATGCTCGTAGCAATTAGTCATAATTGGAATAACATTTTAACGAGCCGACAGATGGAAGAATGAATAGAGAGGGGGTGTAATTAAAAGTCTGGATTACATTTAAATGGAGAAAATTGGGAAAAATTAAATTCGAGAGGTTGGGGACTTGAAATTTCGTAGGTTACGCTAAGGAAAATATTTATGCTCAATCTTGTTACATCGGGAAATACTTTCGCTTGTAATTTAGCACGAAGCATACGCCCCGTCGAATATGCTCAAACGTCGCTTTTGGAACTTCCTCGATTTCTGCAACAAGGAAAAGAGCATTCTTGAGGCCGACAAAGTCGGTTCACTGAAAACGATAGTGCAACGGGCTCGAGCAACCTTGCCCGAAGTCGTCGCGGAGTTTCCCGGTTCTCGGTCGCCTACGCAGTTTTCGCACTTCGAAATAAGCGCGAAGATGAAGCGCTTGGAAGCATTAAAGTATTTCGCTAGGTACAACGATTTGCCGTCGTTGCTGGATAAAAATCCGATACACAGAAATGCACTGTTGAACCTGGCGTGTTACAAAACGCTTCGAAACGTACAAGCCGATGACTTCGACTTCGCCCCTGCCGAGAAATCCGACTGTGGTGATGGCGCTTCGAAGATAATCTCTCGAGAGAATGAAGAACCAATAGTCGAACGTACGATCGAACAACTACAAACAGACAACTCGTCGACTTGCACCGCCGCGAGAAACGTGGGATCTCCGTCCGTTACGAAGCACGCATTAAGCACGCCGATCAGCGATCAGCAACAATCGTATATTACCGAATGCACCTTGCGAACGCCTGCGATCACCTCCAAGCCGCTGCCACCTTTGTTCGAAGCGTTGCAGACGTCGAACCCGGGAACGCAAGAAAGCGTGAAAGATGCCGAGCGATCATCGTCCATGATATTTGTGGAAATGGGTATGCGGACATCTGAGATTGCAACGAATCTGAAACGCCTTGAAATGTCACTCAACTTGCGTCTTGCACACGGTAAAAAGTGTCGTGTTAAGTTTAACATTTCAGATGCCCCGGACGGGCCGCGCAAATTTCTACGTTAATTTACCACAGGGCGAATATGTTGAAAAGTAACGCCAATATTATAGAAATATATTATAGAAATATATTATATAAAAAATTAGCACAGAATTAATATATTAATTGACAGTGAAATATATAAAATATGTTATTTTAACGCATACTTACAAGTATTATTTTAACGTTTACACTTGTCGAATATCGACTCAGCACGAAGTATTGAGTGACAAATATAGCAACATAAACGCAATATGTCAAATTAACATACACGTGTGTTAGAAATTTAACACAAAAATTTTCGTAGGGACCGACTTCAACGCAAGCGCAAATGTCATGTCGGGATGGTGGTCTTTCGTGAAACGGTCGCGTCCTCGCGAGGAATATCGAACACCGGAGATTCCTGCAGCCGAAGATCGCGCGAGAAAATTCAACGGTTCCCTCGTCCCGGATACTCAAGGAGCGCGACGAGAACAAAGCGCACGCTATGAGTCGTTGCGAGGCAATCGATCGTATCGTTCCTCAAGTCTGGGAGATCGAAGATCTCCAAATCTTTCGTCATCTCCACTTTGCGCAACGCGTCGCGTTTTCTCCACGAATAGTTGCGCCGTGATCCGAAGATCCGTTGGAACGGTTGGGCCCCCCAGAGCCTCTACAGGAGGCTCAAATGGGATATTCAATGCGAACACATCGATCGTTCCCTTGAGAGGCACGCGATCACATTCAGGTGCCTTTTTAAGCCGATTATGTTCTCCCGATTCGCGATTATAATTGTCTTTTTTTTTTATTCTCGACTCGTTATTACAACCCATTCTGATTCCTCGGTAATTGAAATTCCAATAGTTTCCTTAACCCTTAAATGCATAGTGTTGCAAATTTGCAACATATTTATTTTTCCTCTTTGTCGAGATTAAAGGCACACCTAAACGTGGAAGACCAAATTTTTCCTTAGAACGAAATATACAATCCAAAAGGTACAAAGGCAATGCTCAACATGTGCCTCAGATTTTTTTTAATATTTTTCTCATTTTCTAGAACTATTTATGAACTTAGAAAAAAATAATTCAGTAATAAAAAAAATTCATGCATTTAAGGGTTAATTTAACGAGGGGAAACATAATTTGCCGCAACAAGTTTCATGCCGTCAGAGCAAAATCAGTTACTAGGACGGCGAAACGACTTGTTAAGAATACTAATTGCCGTTCGTCGGATTACTTTGCTAAGCCTGCAAATTATTTCGCTGGAAAAACAAGTTATAGTAAATAATAAAGATAGAAAGCAATATTTTGCCTCAACAGCAAATTAACGTCCCAAGGACAAACTCACTCGGCAGAATATTTTTCATTCCGACGGCAAAACTGTTTTAATTACGAAATAATTCGTTAATTTCCTCACTAATATTTATCGCTGTTGTAACGAATTTACGGTAGCAACGATTCGACAAGTGTTCGTGTTCGTGGTTTCGCTGCAATAGCAACATTATTTTTCTCCTTTGCCCAACAAACGCGCGGGTCGGATTCCAAATACAGTTCAAGTTTCTTCTCCCAACTTTCCGATTTATATTTTATCGGACGGATGATAAATGAAAAATACGGCGACAAAGACGCAGGATGACGTAGTTGAGATAAGGATCTTTCAGTCGTTATTGAGCATCGGCGGATCGTACAATCGACGTCTAATCATCGCAGGCTACGCGTTCCTAACGAGGCCGCGATCGTTCAGCAACATTTCGAAGCCGGAGAAACCCGCCGCTTGCGAGGACGATAATCGGCGGCAGTCGCGATGCGAGCCCGAGAGAAAGAACTGCGGGGGGAAAACGCCGCGGAAGGAAACGTGCGGCCAGCGTGGCGTCCCGTCCTGCGATGATACGTGCGGGAAGCGACGGAAGAACTGCTTGAGGACGTGCGGCAACCGCGATTTGCAGAAGGGAAAGCGGTGCAACGCCAGCAAGGAACGGCGTTGCAGCGACAAGAAGATTGATCGAAATTGCAGCGCGAAAGGACGAGGCTCGGCGAGAAATTGCACCTCTCCGCGGGAGCAGGATAACGCGCGATGCGGCAAGAGTAATGCAAAGCGGCGTTAAAAATATCAGTCATACGACATTCCGCGTGACGTTAACTTTTTACACGGAGGAAGAAGTTCCGCTGGAATGACAAATTGTTTGTTAATAACAGCGATAGCAAAAAGATTCGTTGCACGGAAAAACTGATTTGGCTTTGTTGCGGCGGCGATGTGAAATTTGCTTGGTATAATAAAAAATTCATACTCTCAACGAATCTTTTCGTCGTCGCTATATTAATAAACAATTTGCTGTCCCGGCGAAATCGTTTTCTTCGCGCGATCAGGCGACAGCAGCGATGCATTTCGCTACTGACAGAAAAAATGATTTTCCTCCCTGTTTATCTTGGAATTTTTTCCTCTACCGCGCGGCTTCCATCTTCAACGATTCTCGTCGACCGGCAGATCAGTGGTTGAAGTCGCCGTGCGAACGGAAGGAGGACTGCCAGAAATCCAGCAAGCCTCGTGCAACCTGCACGGAGTCGAAGAACGATTGCCGGCAGCCGAAGTGCGGGAAGCAACGCGAAGAAAACGCGACATGCGGTAAAGTTCTGAGGGAACGTTTGCAGAACAATCGAGGACAATGCGAGAGCGGCCGGAAGAAGGATTGTTCTCAGGGCGGTAACAAGAAAGGCCACAACTCCGGCTGCTGTTCGGGAAAACGACGATACTCCCAACTGTCGTATCCCACCAACTACTCGTCCTTCGGCGTTTTAAACTCCGTTCGCGATGCACAGGCGAGCGACGTGACGCGGAGATTCTACGCCAGCTGCGGGAAGGAGGAGAAGGACGATTCGAGCTCTCTTTGCGAGAAACTGAAAGAGAAAACGTGTGAGAAGACGCAGGAGGAGAAGAATTGCACGAAGGGCCCGGCGCAATGCTTGCATGTTAAATCAGATGCCGACAAGCGGGAAGAGAAAATATCATGCGTACTTTCGAAAAAGTCCTCGACGTGCACTCGCGAGCAATACTGCACCACGAGGAAGGAATTCGACGCGAAGAAGGATCGACCCAATGATCAACGTAATCCCGCCTTCCTTAATCCTTTCCTTATCCTTGATTCTTTTGAGCAAACTTTCCGGGGCAGCGTTTCACTTTCGTTTCCTCCCGTAGCGAAAGAGGAGTCGACGAAACAGAGAGTCGAGCGTGAATTCAAAGAGATGAACGAGTGCAAGAAGCGTCACGCGATGGCGGACGAAAAGTGCAAGGGGGCCATCGTGGGAAGGAGAACCGGTGCGGAGGATGCGAATAAAACGTGCGGTCATTCGACGGAGAACATCAACATTCGCTATTTCAACGATTCGACGAGAAAGCTCAGAAGCGTGCTGAACTACCTGAGCTTTCCGAGCACCACCGGCCGACCCGGAGCAGTTCGTGGCGAGTCTCCGATCATCGTCAGGTTGGCACCGGCGTTATTTCGACCTCGTTTCTGTCGTTGCGAAGGAAAACCGATGAACCTCGGAATTTGTTCTCTCTCGATCGGCAATTCGCGAGGCCCCGTCGGGGGCTGTTCGATGCACACTCGTACAATCGTTATTGCAAAACCGTGTCGTGACGATTCGCGTTCAATAGCCAGTTGTGTTACCCCGTACAATGAGTCATTTAATACGATGTAATTACAGGAATGTCAGAATGCTGTTGGACGTGATGCTTGATCGATCGCTCCACACGACGAAAACGTATCATCAGGATGATTCCGCGTCCGTCGAACGAAGCGCGGATCACAGCAAAACGCTTCCGAACGGCGCGAGCAGCGGCGATTTTATTCACGGGGATGAATTGCCGCTTTTCGTCGAGATCGAGAATATCGAGGAAGAGGAGGCGGACGAGCGTATCGAACGGCCTGCGGAACGCGATTGAATCGTGATCAAAGGTCAGACCGCATGATAATTCGAACGTGTAACTTAATACGCGAATAATAGAAAGAGACTCCGCCATTTCTCTTTCTCTCTTGCTCCCCCCCTCTCTATTATTATTTTATACTCGGCCGGATATCCTCGGAGGATAACGATAAAGCGGCCGTCGACAAAAGATAAAGCAGATATACAAGTGCGTGCGACCTGGCTGCGTATCGAAGGTATCTCCACATCCCCGCACACACGTGCACACACTTATTACACACGAATGCGTGGGGCATTTCCGACGAAAAACCCAAGTATCGTGCCGATGACGCGCCGGTCGGACATTATTCCTCTCCGAGTCCGTTCCTTAAGCGGCCACCACACCGGTATCGAGCGAACCGCTCTCGACGAGATTTCCGGCACCGATGGCGAATCGATTCCACCCCGATACGACGACGACGAGGATACACGCTTTCGACAGCGGAAAAGCGGAAAAGAGCGGATCATTCTCCCGGAAGAGGACGAGAACGCGCGAGTCATCGTGCGAGCGAGTCGCGCTCGCGCCTTCGTCAGACGGACGTCTTTGTGGCGTGCGACGGAGGCGTGAATGACGGTGGGCCAGGAGGCCCAATTACGAGATATTCAGGCCTCGCCACGGGGCACCGCGCTCGTATGTATGTATGTACGTACATACGTAGCTGCCTACCTACCTACCTGGCGCCTTCTCCCTTTTATCTCGACACAAGAGCGAGAAAGAGTGCGACGAGGGGGGACGAAGAGGATTGCCGGTGAAGCCGGGCGAAGGGCGACGAGGGGGACGTGAGGACGTCTCTGCGGGATTCCCGCCGGCACTTATGGGAATGTGATACGAGCTTTTCGTCGGATGCTCTCTTGCGTTTTCGCATTGTTACGCAACCGTCCTCCTCGCGTCCGTCACCCTCGTGCGCCCCGACAAAGGGAATCAATGTCAATGCGCGCGCCATGCTGCTCTTACGCGTCCGCAGAGGTGCGAGCCGAATGCCGGAATAATGATGATCGAGGGAACGTTAATAAGCGCGCGGAAACTACGCGGCGACGACCGCGATGACGATGACGATCGCTCTCTCCCGCGCGCGAGGTGTCGGCGGTTTGTTTATTCTCTCTCTCTCTCTCTCTCTCTGTCTTCTCTCAAGAGCTCTCTGTAAACTCTCCCCCGATTCTTCACTCCCTCGTCCAACAGTCAACGCGAGATTCACTTGAGCTCTCGCATTCTTGCGTTATCGTCCAGAAACTTAAGTTCCCTTTTGCCACTTTTCCCTGACACGTCACTAAAAAAAAAAATTCACGTCCAAAATGAGTCGATATAAGCGCCATTTTTTCCGAACTGCCGTGAAATTTGTAAAATATAGGCGTTCTTTTCGTATTCCTTGCCGCCTCTGCTGCCGATTGCCGTCGTACGCGGAAAGAAATTAGTTTTAAATCGATGATGGATATTGTCGTGTATAAGCAAGGATATTACAATTTTCTTGGATTTTTATCCTTGATTTGATTGAATTTGTAGTGATGCAAGTATTAACACTTTCAAGACTGAAAACTTTCTAAGAATATTACAATATTCTTGCTTATATATGAGAATATCATTATGATTCTTTTTTTTTGTGTACTCGTAACACTCATTTCCTTGGTCTTTCCTTGTTACGAACTTCCAAACTGTACTATGAAAAGAGCTCGCTGCACGTTAAGTCATCCAAAAATAAACCTGTAGAGATAAAGTAAATATTACTTTTTTGCTTAAAGCCTGAGTTATTCAGAATTTAACAAAAATATTACTCTTGGTCACTAATTTGTCATTTTTTCTGCTTAGAAGCAATCACTATTTCATTTTTGTTCGGGTGACTTGGATGACAGCGCTAATCATCGTGTATTTTGGGAATGAATGTTCGCTCGTGTCATCCCGCGGGCAACGTTCGTGTGTTTCGCATATCGTTCGACGACGCTGATCGATGATCGATCGATATCACCGGATGGTACGAATCGGTATATGAATTATATTTTTCCGGTCCTCCTCCACTTCGCGAACTTTATGGAAATATACACATTTAATATAAATAGCGCGTTCACAGAGCCAGGCGGTGTATTTGGTACTTTTGTATGCGTTCGAAATCAATTTGATCGCGCTGATTATATATATATATATTATATATCGCAGGATCAAATTTATCAAAAACACCAGGGTGTCAGTTTATACCGAGCTCGCAGAGTACACGCATATTTTTCCACCCCTGTTTGTACCCGCTGCTATATATGCCGCTGCACTTTCGTTCGTTTTTCGTGGAACCGTTCGCGAGGCCTTTTGTAAACACACCTCGTTGCTCGATTACGAGGTAAACTGACGATAAGTGCACCGGCAGCGCGAATCGATCGGCACGATTTGTCGCATCGGCAAGATCGAACGGCCGATTTCGCGGCTCTTAGCGCGGAGGGTTCCCGGACGTCATATTATGGTGTCAACGACTCGGCCGTGGACCACAAACCGCTGGCATCCGCGTGTCGAGAATGAATGCCGACGCCACGGGTGGCAGACAAGCGCATACAATCCGAATAAAATGTATCAATTCCGCCGTGGTGTGTCGGGCTGCCCTTTTCTCGGGACGCGCGATTGTGCGCTCCTTTCGAAAGAACGAAGTCGCAACGGACGATTATTGCATCGTTGTAACGACCGCACGAGGTATAAACGATGCGATATAACGAGTTTAAACAAGTGCAACTAATTAATTGTGCAATCAATTAAACATATTTCAAATATAACACGTGGACATATCGTTAAATCAATCACGTTTATTTCTCAGCTCTAATCAAGTAACGCACTCGCGGAGACATATTTTTTTGCCGGCTCAGCAAATTGTCATCACAGTGGCGGTAAAAAGATTTGCTATTTGAAAACAATAATTTTGCTACTGTAGCAATATAATTCAGTGGGCATAATTAGCAATTATAATATTCTTAACAAATCTTTTTACTGTCCAAACTAATCTTTTCGTCGTCGCTATAATAACGAACAATTTGCTGTGCCAGCAAAACAATTTTCTCCTTGCTCGTTCCTCGAATTGGCGCGTAATTATAAAAAAATAATAATAATTTATACATATTAATTTCTACGCGTGCGTTAATAAAATTAATAGGTCGGGAATCTATCAGGATCATTTGCGGTAATCGAGTTGCAGACTACGTCCGTTGATGTTGCATCGCCGTCGGTGCATCGAAACGAACGTCGAATTCAGCGTTCGCGATCTGTTCGAATCGAGTCTCACCCCTCCTTTGAAAATCCTCCGAGCTTCGTTGTTCACTACGAGTTGCAACATCGCGTATAAACCGTATCATAAATTATATGAAGCAGATCGATAAAGATGAGTCGAGTAAAAGGAACGAATTAAAGCAGGTTTACGATGCGCAATTCACGACGAGCAATTCACAAAGAGGAAGAGAAATTCTCCCTCGCGTCTATCCCTTTTCCAAGTTCAGCGATCTGTCCTTGTAACATCGACCAATGGCGCTGCGACACATGCTTAGTAGATGACTGCAGCCAGGAGAGTTGAGAGAGACAGAGAGAGAGAGAGAAGTTTGCCGATCATTGGCTGTCAAGATCCATAGAAAAGACGGAACGGACGCTTCATACAGTGACAGTTTGAAGATGTCCCACATCAGTCCCTTCGAGGGAAGGTCCGCGCAAGCCTACACACGTTTAGATAAACGGAAAAATGTGGTTGCTCACGCATTATTTCAGGCGTCTTTTCCCGAAAACTTTAAGAGCTCATCTGAAGAAACAACGTGTCGTGACGTTTTCCTGTTTACACGAATAATAGACGATTCTTCGCGTTGCAACTTGTGATTCGCCCGACACATGGCTCCACTGAAATATGTTACTATGAGCCTCGCACACGTAGGATTCATCGGGGATTCAACCGGACTCACATTCGGAAAATTCGAACCTTTCAGAGGATCAAAAATTCCGCTCTCTCAATTACCAGACATTAAACACCGAAAATTATGTTCGCCTCAGAAGGATTTTTAACAGGGCGTAATATTTAATTGCGCGATTCTGTACTTTTTTATAATTTACTTCCGAGATTCACCTCGCAGCCCGAGTCGAAACTTTAGTCCTACGTTAAGTCTTCCAGCGAAGAAAGAGGAAACAGCTTCCCATTTGCGGCATCAAAGGAGAGCGCAATACCTAGTGAAGATTTAACGTGGAATCAAGCGGACTTAACGTAGAACTAAAAACATTCGAGCCGGGAACACCGAGGTTTCCTTTTGCAAAATTCGAGAGCGTACCCGCGGCTTGTCCGTCGTCGCGGACTTCCGCCGCCGCAACGCGGCGTCCCCGTCGGCTTTCATTCGCTAAATCGGACGAGGTCGGCGATTTCGCTATAGCGAGAGGAGACTGCGTGTGTTATTCTAACCCGAGCACAGGCGAGCGCGCGCGAGTGCCTTAAGTAACGCAAAAACGCGAGCGCTCCGTCCGTGAAACTTTATCCAACTTCTGTTGTAAGTAGCTTCTAAGCGACGTACCTTTCTTCCGTGGGGGCGTTCATAAACCCTGCGAGTGCTATAAATCGATTTTTCCCCAGGGAGGATAAGCCGTTGTCCTCCGTTCTCGCGTCCCCCATCGCGCCTTCCTCGCTCATTCTCCCTCCTTCTCCCTCCTTCCTAACCCTCTCTCTTTCTTTCTTTCCCCCCGCGCGAACACGAACAAGTCGACGCTAATAACGAGATCTTTAGTGCTTCCCCATCTATTTTCCTACGCGTGTTGCTTTCCCTTCTCGTAACTCGCTCGCACAATGAACGACGCGGCGCATGTTGTCGCGGTTACCGCCAAAGCGACAACCGCTGTCGGTCGCGTAACAGCGTCACGACGCCGTCTCCCACGCGATTGCTCGATCGCACGCCGACGCTATTAATCCCGTAATCCCGTGTGTGCACAGTAAAAAGTTCCACGTTAAATTTAACACGCTTTGTATGTCCGGTTCGCTCAAATTTTTGTGTCGATTTAACGCAAGGTGAATATGTTGGAAAGGTAAACACAAATGATATACGTGAAAAATTAACATAAAATCAATACGTTAACTCGAGAACAGTCACCTGGGATTATTTAGTTCTCGATTAAAAGTCGCAATTATTAACGAAATATAACATATTATCGGTCACTCTATGATTTGTTATTATTTAGGAACGTTACAAATATAGATTTAGTCGTTGCTTTGTGAAAAAAAAAGAAGGGAGAGACCAAAATATTATTTAAGAAACGGAGTAAGCGCCATTAAGTGTTCGTGTTTGTTTACGTGAAAAAAGTAAGGTGACTTCCCGAGTTAATCGACATCGAAGTGTGAAATGTGCTATTTCAATATTTACACACGTAACTCAGTATTTACAGATATCGTGGACATCGACACAACACAAAATATTGAGATAACGTAAACGCAAAATGTGAAATTAACACGTGTGTATGCTAGAAATTTACCGCAAAAACTCGAGCAAGGACCGATCTTAACGCAAGTGCGAAATGATTTCTGCTGTGTGCGTCGCACAAATCTACGGTGGTTGATTTCGTGTTCCCGCGGAACCCGTGCGAACCTCGCGAATCGGCGCGCGTTCCGCTCGTCGATTTAATAAACCGCAACATTCGCCGTATCCCCGCGTCTTCCACCGCGCGTCATCGATCATAATCGATCGGGCCGGCCGTGATGGATCCCGCAGGACGCACACGACCTGACGCCGATAATAACAACATTTTATTCCTTTTGTTCTCATCGCCCGCGTTCCAACCGCGCGTTTGATGTCGCCGTTTCTACGGTCCGCGCGCGACTTTGTTGATAAACGAGACGCCGCAGCGCCGGCACCGAAAATACCGGTTCGTCCGCGTAATTTGGGGATTCGCAGGCGGACAACATTCGCCGAGCGCGAGTTTCGCCCTGTGTAAAAATTGCATCGTCCCGCGCGCGCACGTCATTAAGAGAGCGGACATCCAGAAAAGGCCGGAATTTAACGAGCTCCTCGGAAGGATCCGCGTTCTGGATGCAATTCGCTGCCGCGCGTCTTCTGTCTCTCTCTCCTTCTCCCTCTCTCTCTCTCTCTCTCTCTCCCCGTTCTCGCACATTCACGCCGGACGCTCATAACGAGGCTCATTTGGTGGCTCCTGCGCGACCAATGCCGACGCAGGATGGTGGCTGCGGCCATGCCCAACGGCCAATAGCGCCACGTGTCATGCAGCTGTCAACGTGGCCACGCCTTTCGCCAATCCGCATTGAGCCGCGCATGACGCACTCCGCGCGCTTCGACGGCGCGCCGCATCGCCAGTCCCTTCTGGTGCGCGCGTAGGAGAGTGTCTCTCTCTCGCGCGGCTGCGAGAGAGACAGAACGGCCCCCATTGATCTCGCGGTCTCTCGTAAGAAGACCGTCCGTTTCTCGCGATCACGCATCACCGTCGTTGCCGAGTCATCATCGAGTTACCGCCGGAGGGAATTCGCGCGGGTCTCCCGAGTCGTCCGCGGCGGTTCTTCGACGCGGAGGAATCCGCGAGCAGCTCCTCCGTCGCCGAGGAGGACGCTCATCTCCAGTGCGTTTCTCACCCGATACACGCCGGGAGGAGAAGAATCTTTCGGCACACCCGTTACAACGCGGCAGCCGGCGAAAGACGAGCGACGTTGAATCTCGCGGATCGGAAAGGCGCGTCGAGGTTCAAGGAAAGCGAGCGACTCGCTGCGAAGATCGAAACGATTCTCGACTGTCGGTGCAAAAGTGATAGAAGAGGAAGCTCTCGGCGCGATCGGACTGATCTCTCCGTGACGATCGGGAAGGTGATCATACGGTGGAGGCAATTTTGGTGGCATTTCCGAGACGAGAGAAAGAGAAAAGAAGAGTGTGTTTGTGTGCGCGCGAGAGAGAACGTCGCGACGAAGAGGCGTCGATGGGGTTCAAGGAGAGCGAGGGAGACGCTCGTTAAGGCGCCTCTAATAATAGCGCCGCGCTCGCGAGTGTACCAAGCGATCTATAAATACGATCTCTGCCCCGTGGAAACACGAGCCCGTGGATTTCACGGTGCAACCTGTGCCGCGACAGAGAGAGATCGAGGAACGCGGAGGGCAACGCTTCCCCGGACATATCGGACCTCGCGTGTTATCGGCAGCCGCGAGTTCATCCCGGCGAAAAGTGCGCAAGACACCAGGAGGGCGAATGATATAACGCCCGGTGGCGTGCTCGTTCCGAGAGCGTTCCGAGAGATCGTGCCAAGACGACGAGAATCAACAGAGGCGAAGTCACGCGCGCGCGCTGCGATCATCGCCGCGAGGTTAGACCGTGCAAACCGATTCTCTCCTACCCGCTCGGTCTGTCGGAATCGCCTCCTCCGAAAGTGCACCCTGCGTCGGACGTAGAAGACAATCAGTGAGGGAGCACCGGGAATCCGCGACTCGATGACCCGTGAATCGCGCCGACCGTCGGCGAGAACCCGATAGGATCCCGGCGAGTCTCGCGGTGTTTCCCGACGTCCTCCTCCTCCGGTCAGCTGGTGCGATACAGAAATATCACGCGGCCAACGGAGTGTGAGCGCATACTTTTCCACGCGTGCTTCTCTCTCTCTCCCCGGTCGGATGACAACAGTGGGCGAAGATCGTCGGCTCGCCGGTCGGACGTGCGGGAACCTCTCGGCTCGATAAGGTCCTCGTCGACGCTTTCGACGGCCGCTCCGTCGCGAACGGGATGCGAAGCAGCAGACTCGCAATCTCCCTCCGGCTCGTGTTACACGCCGCTCGGTGCAATCTGCCAGTACGTATCTAAGTCTCGAAATTACTCCGGCGCAATTCCAACCGGAGCCGTGATATCATCCCCCGCGTCGGCGAGTGACGTTCGAGTTACACCCACGCGGGACCGAGTGCGCGCTTGAAGTATAGAAAAAAGGCCAACCGGAAGTTATCGTTATATTGTTTCCCGCGGACGCCGCGGGGTCAGAACCTCGTCGTAAAACGCTCCGACGAGCGGACTCTCGCGGTGTCCTCCGAAGGCGCGCGATCTTGCTTTTGTAGACACCCCCATAAAAAGGGCAGTCGGACACTCGGAAGAATCTCCGTTGACCCATATCGGCCCGTTCGACGTTTCCGCCGGCTTCGCATCAAACGAGGTCCACGTAGACCATGTCGCCGAGCAGACGCGCCGAGGTGCCCCAGTGAGGAGGATCCGCGCGGAAGATGAGCGGCGAGTGAGCGGCGGAAGAGAAAGAGAGAGAAAGAGGGAGGAGAGGATCCTCGGGAGCAGCGTGGCCGTCGGATCGCGGTTCCTCGAGCGACGCGGTCCACCCGGTCGCATAGGCGCGTCACCACGGTGGAGAGCGGCGGTGGCGTGCGGGGGGTCGTCGTGGACCCCGGAGATGACGCCATGATGGCCTACGGAGGCACCGCTGGCAACGGGGGTGCGATGGGCCCGTCGTCCGGCGGCGCGGACGTCCTGGGCTCCGCCGGGGATTACAGCCCTCAGAGTACGCCCACGCCCTTGACGGGACACTCGTCGGGCTCGGTGGAGAACGCCTACACGCCCGGTACGACCGGAGCGGCCAGCTACAGCCCGCAGGACAGCCCGGCGAGCTCCGCCGGCGGCAGCGGCAACGGCCTGCCGAGCTTCGGCTTCACGCAGGAGCAGGTCGCGTGCGTCTGCGAGGTAAGTCGTGTGCCGGCCTTGCCACTGCTTCGTAGGACTCTCACCTCCTCCGAGAGACGCGAAGACGGTCTGAATAACGCGCGGGTCGGGAAGAGGAAAGGAGTGTGGAAATACAGAGCACGCTGGTAGAATCGATCGCGGAGGTTTCGAGTGAAAAAACAGAGGGAGTAAGTTTATAGGAAACAGATAAAATCGGAGATTGAGAGGGGGAAGGGGGAGTCGAGTAATCAGCGCGGCGGTGGTTCCGGTTTTCGGTATTCTAAAAATACTCGGTGCCTCGACGGCAGATTGCGTACGAAAAAGAGTGTCTCTCGTGCTTAGTCGCAGTGCGGTGTCATTTGGACGTTTGCGTCGCGTGGCAACGTTCATTTCGAAACTTCTCGCTTCGTGACTCTTACTGGAGGGTCTCCAGCCGCTTGTCGCTCGCGCTTGTTCGCGGGGGTACAATCAGCCGATTGCGCTCAACGCTGCGCGGAACACGCGGTCTACGGACGGAAACACGGCTGCTCCTCGTGGTGACGTGCACGGTTTAAAGATCGGCCTCGGCGGCATGAATTTATAACGTCACAGACGACGTAAGGTTCGATCTACTCAGGTGTAGTGAGCCTTTAGTCTTTTGCTCGGAGCATTTTAATTGCCGAGTGATTTCTAGCGAAAAGCGTTACCAGACGCGTTTCTAAAGATTATTTATCTAAGCGTTATTGCGACTTTTGATAAATATACGAGGAAACGCGTTCAGAAATTAGTTTGCCATTTCAAGTCTGGATCGCGAAAGGTTAGGCTTATTATATCTATCGTAGATCTAGCTTAATAGGACGATATCCTCGGTGATTTCTTCGTGATCAAAAGAAACGTCCTCCGACCACCTTGTTACGCTAAGCGAAATAGTGAATTATACGTTATTAATTAAAATCGAGCGACGCACAGCTGACGACGAGCGGCTGGCGACGATATTTCGGCGAAGCGATCGTCGCACTCTTCTCGGCAAAAATTCTCGTCGATCGGTTCGCGCGATTTTCACTCGGAGGGAACTCTCGCGAGAGTCGGGAACTGTCGAAACTGTCTCCGCGGTGATTTTGATTTCACGTTGAACGAACTTTCCTCTTCTTCCGAATACCCAGATTCAGGCAACGCGTCTTCACCGTGAAGAAATATAAACGCACGCGGATATCCGTCACATCTCGAAACGTCGAGACCACGAAGATCCACGCACGTATAGTCGGCGTTATCTGTATCATTCCTTAGATTGAAACCTTTTACTATTACACAATTTGTAATCTTTCTTATTCTATGGTCAGTCACAAGAAGGTTACAACACTTTTTGCGATGAGTTTCGTAACGTAATCTCGTCTAAATTCAATAGAAAAAATATCTCCTGAGAATGATTAGAAGACAAAATTTCCTAGTGGACACGAGATGCGTTTCGAAACTCATTTGAAGAAAAAAAAAACAGCCTTTTTGACTGACGATGCACACAAGGATAAACTATTATAATTAGAGTCTTTGTAATCGTAACATTGTAACTAGGCAGGGTGTTTACTGTCTGGAGAAATCTGGAAAATCTGGAATTTTCAAGGAATTTGTTTACGCCTGGGAAAATCAGGGAATTTTAAATAGACATTTGTGTGCAATTTTAATTTTAATTAGTAAGAAATAGCGCTATGTAAATCGTAGGCGCGAATTTATTAACATTTCATGTACATGTACATTTAAGGTTGTTTTTAAAGTTTCTGTTTGTATTTAAATATTAACACTTTTTTTACGTTTATAATAGATTCTCTGTTGTTCTCCTTATTTATGTATATTATTTAAATGTTCAATTATATTGATCTGGCAGAGCACACTGATATTACGATTAATCCGATATTCAATATTGAAAACAACAATTTCCTGTTAGGTGCAATTTTGTTTAATTAAAAGATAGATATTTATTTTATGATATTTTTATAAAGATTGAATTTTATACCGGTTATACAATTTTTTGTTTCTACTTTCGAAAATAAAATTTAAAAATTTTATGCAATATAACATATTTACTTTTAGAATCTATAATTTCTTTCAAAATTTTTCAAAAATTAATCTTTGAAACTCGAGTGATTCTTAATACTATTTTATGACTTATAATTTTTTATTAATGGAAAATATTCAGGACTTTGCACAATAAATATATATATATATATATATTCATTCATTTATAAGATACATTTAAAATTGCTTTCATTTCACGTAGAATTTTTAATAAGCAACTTGCCTGGAAAATCCTCGGGTAATTAATTTTTTCCAGGCTTGCGTAGACACCCTGCTAGAGTTACTTTTACGATGTTCAACCTTATGCGTTATATATAAGGCTGAAAATGGTGTGATTCTCCCCTCAGAGGAATGATACAGCGCCGACCGTATGACGAAGAAATCGTCGCCGCGGCGGCGCGCTCGTTAGACCGCCGACAATATGCGGCGTTTGTTTCGCCGAGATTCGCATGCATGTCACACGCTTCCATGGGATCTGCACGATTTTACTGTAACCTGTAAATTGTTTTGCGCGTGACGTTTATATCCCTCTGCATCGAACGTCCCACGTGTTAACTCGTCTCGCACGCTGGCCGAAGACGCGCGATTTCTCCCGCGCTTGGCAGCTTGTACTCGCTAATTCCTCAGCGGCACACACGCGAATTATTCGCGCGGGGGCGCGATCCCGCTCGATCGATTCGCGTAAATCAGCCGTTGTCGGCGAAACTTGAGAGAACTTGAACAAATATCTTCGCCCGAGCGGAGCTCCATAATGGATTAGCCGCGCCGAGTTTGCGTTGTCCGCGTCTGGAAAAAACAGAGGTCGAGTCAAACTTATCGCATGTTATCGCGTCTCAGATTATTCCCGATATAGATCAAGTTGTAAATATGAACAACGTGTCGCGAAAAATCGGTCGTATATTTTTTTATTTGTTTACTTTTCGCTTATTAGCAGCGCTATCGTTCCGGTCACCTGAGTCACCTTTTCTTGACGAGTCGCTAAAAAATTGATTATCTTCCGAAGTGATTGGTCACCGTTCTGATGGCTGAGAAGCCATTTTTTCGTCACTTTTTCCGCCAAGAAGCGGTCATTATTTCACTCTTTATTCCGGTGACTGGATGGCAGTGTTGTTATCAGTCTTGTATATTCATCGACGTTGTTCGGATTTATCAATCCTGGTCTGTATATTTATATGATTTATTTGTTTTTATCGAGAAGCAGGCTTCTCGAGACATCCAGGATACATCGAGTATTTCCGACGACAACCTCCTCACAGTTGTACACGTCGGGGGATAATCTGTTCGCGAGCGAAATTGGAAACACGCGACGATCTTCGACGGTATCGAGCAGGATAATACTGAGTGTGCGAAAAGACGGGTCTGCCAGACGCGGAAGTAATCGGCGGCGGTATCGGGACTGCGTATTTGCACGTGTGTTTTGCACGTGTATCCCCGTGTTGGCGCTATAATTATGCGGCTAGACTTTAACTCCTTGCCCACGTCGCACAGACCGATTACGGCGCGCGAATTCCGCCGGCTAAATTTCGAGGATCCCGCGGAGATCCCCGCCGTCACATGGACGGAGTCGTGACCCGCGAGATTGGGGTCGCTATCGCGAGTATCGATTTGTTCAAAAATATAGTGATCGCTGCCACTCTCTGTGACACGTGGGCGCTAGTTGTCTTGTATCATTCGAGGTATCCACGATAGATCTCTTCTTGTCGAGGCGTAGGGAGTAAATCGGCGGAAGCGAATCTCACCGGATGTCGATCGATCCCGCCCCGGTTCTCGTCGAATCTCGCGGCGAGATCGATCCCGTATTACGGAAAATGGGGGGGAGACGATGAGACTGGATAATTTCCCCCTTAAATTGAATTACATTATTTTAGAACATCGATCCCGAGTCCCGATTTAGCAGCATAGTCCGACGCGTTAAATTATGCTATTATTTCATTCGGCACGAGTAATACTTCTTAATCCCCGATAGTCGCCAATGTCCGTGTGTAACGCGCGTGCTCGAGTGTCGGTGTTAGTCGGAGTCGTGCTCAAAATTCAGCAAAAAAGTCTCGATCCGATTATCATTTCCCGACAATTCGGGCCGATATTTCTCACTGAGATCGATCGGGATTCCATATCGCGGAAATTTGCCCACGACATCCGGTAACGACTGTCAGCAGACGAAGATGACAGGTGTTACAGAGCTCGTTCGAGCGATGATTGAAGGTCCGCTCGTGCGACACAATCGATGACGTCTCGACTCCATGTCGGTGACGCGCGCTTTCGCGGCTATTGATTCTCTAGTAATTAATCTTTCGCCTGAGAGAGAGAGAGAGAGAGAGAGAGGGAAGGAGATATTAATATTCCTCTTCTGTTTAATCGCAATTTCACGCGTTCGCATTGCTCGCCCGAGTAAATTCTTGAGGAAGCAGGAAGAGAAACGAAAGAGGCGCCGCGATTTCGGATGTTCGCGGGAGGAGAAGGGAATAAGAATTTCGCGATTACAATTTGTGACCACCCACGATTTAATTACACACACATCCGCGAACGTGCCGAACTCCGCGTAAGGTGGAATTCCGGTTTCGTCGGTGTATCGCCAGTGACGTATCGATTTTACGTCTGGCGCAACTTAGCTAATCGGTTGTGCGTATAAATTCAAGATACACGCGGTGATATCCGGACCGGCGATGTGTAAGTAAAGCGCGGTGTGAATTTGACAAGACGCGTCGCCGACCCGCGAAAATCCACCTCGCGAGAGACAACGTACGCGTGTGCGTCGATGACTGACGCGAAGACCGACGCGCGAATAGACAACTCATTTCTCAAGCGGAATCCGCGACGGTCGTCGTAATTACGCTGGCGGGAGAGGGCGCGAAGGATAACGTGATTCACGTCGATAAAACGGGGCGAAGCGATACGGCGAAATAAAATTGACGTGTGCTTCCACTTGGTATCGTCTTACGCGCGATCGTTTCAATTCATTAATGGTCGTTTCGGGAAATTATGCGAATGTTAAACGTCCAAGATACGCCGGGCGTTCCGCGTGCATCAGCACTCGCCCATGCCTTGTTAAATCGTGCATTTTGCAGCGGGGGGGGGGGGGGGGNGATTTTATCCAAATTTCAGCCGGACTTCATCGTTAGTGTTAACGTTAAATTTCAAGACGTTTCCGGATATTCCCGGCGTCGAGCACGCACGTTCCCCGCTTGGTGCCTTTCGCGACTCCCACCGGGTTTCAATTTTATATCTTGTACTTTGTACATTTATATGCTCGCGACGGAAATCCATAAACTAGATATATATGATATACTACCTGTGATTATTGATTCTAACATTAACTTGACGCGCCGAATCGCCGTATGTCCGAAAATATTTCGCCTGGGTATTCCAAGTGACTAACGGAATTACATATCGGGCTATTTTCATCGCCTCTGGGACACGGGACTAATTTTTGCGTGCTCGTAGGAATCCTATTAACCGAAATCCGATCGAAAAGAGGATAACCGGTCCAAATTTATTTCCCTTCGAATTCAACGACTTCCATCCCGATTTAACGCCGTGTTTAAATTCACATTCCGCTTCCTTCCAAACTGCGACGTTCAATAATCCGGAGAATTGTCAACTCGTTACCTGTAAAAAAAAAAGAAAATAGATTGTTATCATTCGCTATTTTTTTTTTCGAAATTTATCTCGAGAAATGACGAGTTACCTTCGAGAAAAACGCTGACGAGTCAAGGCCGTTAGTTTTCCGGCTCCGTCGTGAAGGCGGTAACGTTAAAAGTTTGTGTGGACTAGTTTTAAGAATTAAAAATAAGGAGGAAGAAAAAAGATAAAGAAACAACGCGGACGTGACAGATCTAACCCAGATCTCCGCGCTGGCTGGTTTTCATAAAAGAATACTTCAAACCACAAAGCCAACTAAGCCTTAATCTGAATAATCGCTGGTAGTATCCTTCCTTCGAGAAAAAGCGGATTTAAAATACCAAATGTAAACCAGTCTTCTCTCGGAGCCCACAGCTTCGACTCGTTTTTCTCAAAGAGGGGGGGGGTCTAATAAGGTAATTCTAACCTAACGAGACTTCATATCCATTCCGACTGGTTTTCCTTGAAAGCAACATTTCTTCGGATTTACAAACTTCAACGTTAATGTTTATCGGAACTATCGTTCGGACTTTCGCGAGACATTTTTTCTCCCCAGCTCCTCGGAGTAATTCCGAATCACCTCCGCCGTGCTATTTATTCTAATCCACGCCTTCTTTTTTCCACGATCTTCCTACTCACACGCGCGCTATTGAAAGGTCAAGTGCAACACAGCGATCTAATCTATTTAGCGGGAAACACAATTCGGGAATTAAATTGAGGTTAATTTGCCTGATTCGTGGGTACTGAAATTAAGACGTTTTCAGTAAAATAAATACTTTCTCGACCTCGGGATCAGTTACTTCGGGATATCTCGAGAGAAGGGTGGATTACAGCGCGCTGTTGCGCTTTTTTTTCGATTGTCGTGCCTTACAAAAGAAAAAAAGTCATCGTCTCCCGATTTTTAGCGCGGAAACATCCCGGCCGCGATCCGTTAGTCACCGATAGTCGTTGCCCGACTCGTCTTCCTTGATCGAGGTGATCGACTAGGGAAGAGAGCGACAGAGAGAGATAGAAAGAGAGAGAAAGAGAGAGAGAGAGAGAGAGAGAGATAGAGAAAGAGAGATAGATAGAGAGATAGGTGAATGCGAGATAATACAAGATACACTAGAATAAGAGGAGACCCGGGATGAGTTTTGCCGACTAACAGTGTGCCCCCCCTGTCTATCGTCTTCAAGGCGATGGTGTCGAATGTCCAGGTTCTTCAGCAGGCGGGCTCCGTGGAGAGGCTCAGCAGATTCCTCTGGTCTCTGCCGGCGTGCACCAGGTTGCACCGGCATGAGAGCGTGCTCAAGGCCAAGGCGATCGTCGCCTTCCACCGGGGCCAATTCAAGGAGCTCTACAGGATCCTGGAGAGCCACACCTTCAGCCCGAACAATCATCCCAAGTTACAGGCCCTCTGGCTCAAGGCTCACTACATCGAGGCCGAGAGGCTGCGCGGAAGGCCCCTCGGCGCAGTCGGTTAGTAAGAACGATCTTGTCGCTTTTCGCGTTGCATGCTAGGTCGACGGGGCGATATTTAGACCCGGGCTAATTTCGACTGCGCGATACGTCCCGATAACGCGACCGCCGCATCGAGTTATGCGTGAATTTAAGGGGATTCGAGCTTTTAATCAATTTCCTCACGAATTAAGATATAGGAAGGTGAGAGTAACCCTGGCAAAAATAATTTCTAAATGTCTCAAAGACGCCCAAAAGACGTTTCTTTCTATTTTTTTTTTATTTTTTTTATTTAAAGATGTTTTTTGCAGGCATCTTGAAGAGATTTTTTTAGAGATTCGTCTTAGAGATTCTCAGGCAGAAATTTGTTGTTCTGCCGTAATCGAGAGCGGACCTAGAAAAATGGAGTATCTCGGGCTCGATCTAGAAGCAGCCGATGTTAATCGGCAAGAAAGTAACAGGGAGAGATTACGTAAACTCACCGGCACGCTTCTCCCCGGATAAATTAATCGCCGCGACACACGGGGTGGATTAAAGAGCCGTTGAAAGTGCAAACAACGTGTCGGTACGATCAACCTTTTACACTCCGGAATGGAAGATCCATTAAGTACGGACGGATATAAAAATGTTCGCGCCGCGTTTCGCATCAAATTGATAACCCGATGCCCGGGAGCGCGCGACATATCGGAGATCGCTTATCCCCGTATTCCGCCGATCGTGCGATTCCGATCATTTACCGTGGATTCGAATTTGCTGAACGCGATACAACACGGCCGGTGTGTATTTGATGAAAATGAGATAATTTAGAAAACAGAACGTATCAAAGTACGTGCTTAATTCAACGCCGTCTCCCTTTTATATCGTCGCATGAAAATAATAATACAACGGCTATCCCGTTGAGATATAATATAAAATATTACAACTAAAATAATCGTCACGCCGGTAACTTCGCGACGGAGAAAATCCTCTCCGTATTTCACACAGACGTTTAATAATTCGCCCCCCCCCCCCCCCCNCCCGCTTCCCCGTGCGGTTTATGAAGATTATCCTTCGCGACGAGAGATTTATCGGCGTTCGGAATATTATATCGCGGAAACTTAGACAATATCGGCGAGCTCGCGGCATTTTAAATCGCGCCGTTTTTAATACGCGCCGCGCCGTTTATTCCCTTTCGCGGCGCGGCGATTAATAACGCGCGGGCTCGCGCGTGCGAAAATAAATGCCGCGCGATTGGGCCATTAATGGGCCGAACGGCCGGAGTAAGTTATTACCGAATGCAATCCGAGCTAATGAGGGCTATAGACTTGGCCCTATTTTACTCGCTCGATCTTATTGCAACCGGCGCACGCCGGCCGTATCTCGCGAAGCCGACGGTTGCACTCGGCCCAGAAACCAAATCCGTCCCCGAAAAAGAGAAGCTGGAAACAAAGCGCGGCACTGTGCGCGTGTCAGACGGAATCAAAGGTGTGCGCGACGACGCGCGCTGCTTCCTCTTCCGTTTTTCCCGACTTGGCGGCGACTCACGGCAGCCGCACGTTCGCTGAAGCGCGTTTATGTTTCTCTGACACTTCGCGATCCGATGTTCGACGATGAAAAATAGATTCGATTCGCTTCCCCCAACAGTGGGCCAAATACGTTTTGGTTGAAATAAATAAAATTTCTAGCTTTCGCACCGACGAAAAAGCACTTAGAAATTTATTAGTGGGACATGTAAGGTTTATTTCGGAAATCTTATTTCTGTGAAGTAAATTTTATATCCTCCCTACAGGTCAATTTTTAAATACTTTTTTTCTCCGTGTGTGAGCCAAATTTAGTTCTTATAAACTAGAATCAGAAATACCATTTTCTTTAACGGAAACGCGTTCGATTGTCAGGTAGACCCGATCAAACAGTGGACATACATATTCCCGAAAATGCATGAGTTTCATAAAGTAGAACAAAAAAGTGCTAAATTAAAATAAATAATGATTCCGATGCTTCTTAGCTAAATTTTATTTGGACAAAGTAAATATTATATTTCATAAATAATTTCTGAAGTACTTTTCTCAGCGTATTAGAGTCATTTTGCAAAGTTATAACTTCACGAGACAATTTCCTTAACTTTTCCCTGATATTTCGAGAGGTTGTCCCGGTATTCAATATTCGGGATTACGTATGTCCACCAACCAAACGCATTTCCCGACAGCTTGCTCGACGTTATATGGCTGACGCGTCTTTAATGTTTCGCAATTTCTCGCGACACATCATACAATTACCCGGTTAAGCGTTTACTTTTAATCCGCTCAAGTCCCTTATTAGCACAACGATCACTGTTGAGATTAAGATCAATTTGGACACTTGCGATATTTTTCATCCCCCTTTATCCTCTCGACTCGACGCACTGATTCTTTTTTATCGAAAGATTCGTGGACACTGCATTTTCCAGGGAAGTACCGGGTGCGTCGCAAGTTTCCCCTGCCGCGCACGATCTGGGACGGGGAGGAAACGTCGTATTGCTTCAAGGAGAAGTCCAGGAGCGTCCTGAGGGACTGGTACGCCACCAACCCGTATCCGTCGCCGCGCGAAAAGCGAGAACTGGCGGAGAGCACCGGCCTCACCACCACGCAGGTCAGCAACTGGTTCAAAAACCGAAGGCAACGGGACCGCGCCGCCGAGCATAGGTGAGTCTTTGCCATTGAGTTCATTTCAAAAAGGAACGGAACGGATTCAAGCCGGGAATACAGAGCGCACGACATAGACCTGCAATGTTTTGTTTTAAGCCTTAAGAAACTGACCAATCACAGACGAGTATGAAAAGAATAATCGACTGTGATTGGTCAATTTCTCAAGGCTAAAAACATCTATTGCACACGAAGATTCAAAATAACGACATTCGAAATGTCCCACGTAATTACGCGGAGTTTTTATCTCAACGTGTACCTCCAATTTTGGCGAAACGGTTAACAATGTAAAGAAGGCAGCCGAGACGCCGATGAGCTCGATGATGGCTCGGAGGTTGCAGCTCAACGTAACGGACGTTCTTCGCGACTTCGCGAGTAACATCCGGCGATATTTCCAAGTGTCCAACGCGCGGGTTGTGTAATTGGCGGACGTTAGCGTGGAATTTTCGTCCCTCGCGCGGACAGAAGCCCGCGTTCGCGTCCGTACCGAGGAGGAGTCCCGTGTTGTTTGGAAGGTCGTTGCTCTACATCCGATTTTAGAAACGAGCGAAGGCCCCATAACTACGTAATGCGATGCCTTCCGCCGCGGTAGCGTCGTGTCGCATGCACTACGCTCGCTCGTTCCTTCGCGTTGCCCACCTCTTTTCCCTCTTGCATGCGGGCGAGCGGTCTAATAAATAAATAACTACCGGCCCGGCCATCTGGCCGCTGACAAGTACCGATCTCTCGCAAATTCCTTCGCGAAATTTATCAGCTCGCGGCGATAATCGTCTTCGTACGAGCGAAAACACGCGTCTTCTTTTTCACTGTTCGGCGCCGAACACACACGGAGTGGACGTAAATCTCTCTCTCTCTCTCTCTCTCTCTTTCGTGAAGAAGAAGAAGGGGAGTGTGGAAGGAAGAGACGTGCAGGTTTGGAGTATCCAGCGCGTCACGATGTAGTTTCGCTTATTTTAGCCGCGGACTCTCACTCGTCTCCGACGTTTGATACCTTCTCGTCTCGCGAATGACAGTGTCAAGACGGTGTTGGTTAGACGGCGAGACGCGATGATCACCTTCGCGTGATCGATTCACCGAAATCAAGATTGCGTTATAACGAGACAACGATGACGCAACGTTGTCGAATCTGTTCTCTCAAAGCTGGAACAGCTGTAAATAGAATCGCGAGTGTCGTTTCCCGCGCGGGGAAAAAGGTCGCGGCCGATCGAGCAGTTGAGCGAACTCGATATTTCTGCGATACCGCTGTGGGTGATTCGCAAAGGTTAGTCGGGCCAAAGGGAGGAAGGCAGAGGGAGGCTTTGTGGGATTTCCTGTAATTAATATGCGGCGAATGATGCCGCACATGCGTATCCACGCGTATCCCCAAAGCCACCGGATAGGTTTGTAGGACCCATCGCCGTGGGCACTACTATAGGGTGTCCGCGAATCCCCCCGCGCGCGATCTTTGCCCCGGGATTAATTATGTTTCGCGCTGTTTAGCCCCGGTACAGCGTTCCGATTCAACCCGCACGATCTCCCCGATCACTCTTCGACCGTCCGCATCCTCGCGGCCGGCGAACCGATGTCATTCGGGACCGAAGTGATCTTTGCCCCTCTGCGAGGTGCACTTTTGCCCAAATCGAGTTTCACGCACGACGCGGGAGAGATCCAAGTTTACGATGATTTTTAGATTAACCACGTAAATCAAGAAGATGTAAGCTTTATGGGTGGCTGAAATTAATTAACGAACAGTTCTTATTTTCCGCTGGTTGTTCCCACTTTTCTACTGGCTGCGTGTTTTTTTTTTCAGGATTAAGCTTGTCGGTAAATATCCTTGAGAAAATGTGGATTGCGCTTGATTTCTCAAACGATTGCGAAGTATCTCAGTACTGTTTATACTTTTCTCTTAATCATGTGTCAAACTTTCATCTTCGTTTCGAGGGAAACGTACCTCGTGGACTGGATCTTTCTCGCGTAACTAGCGCGATTGCTCTCGCGCTCATTGGCGGTGCACGATCGGCGAAGACGCGCTTACCGGCAGTAACATCGCGAAGTGCCGTCGCAAAGTCTCGTCCGCGCGGAATCACGATTGCGAGTTCATAGTTAATTCGCGAACACCTCGTAGAGACGCGCACGCATCTCTGACCTCCTGCCTCTGTCCATGGGAATACACAGAAGCCATAAGAAATTCGATACGTTCCCCGTGGCATGACGTAGTGCTGTGTGTGTGTGTGTGTGCACTGGTCCCGCCACGGTGGTGCTTCCCACTTCCTCCCTCGCGGCAGGACGTGGTGACCACGATTCGCATGGCTCAGCTTGGACGGATCTCTGTGTATCCTTTGACGAAGACACTGCCTCTCCCTCTCTCTCTCTCTCTTTCTCTCTTGCTTCTAGACTGCCGTTAATGTACTATCGACGGACAGGACAGTCGGGACGTGCTTCGTTTTGACGATTGATGGCCAAAAACCAAATTCCCGTTCCGAGGATCCTAGTGATTTGAGGAAGACAATTTTTAACTGTTAAACACGGACATTAGAATAGATAGGCATAGAGTGACTTACTTTTTCTCACTTTTCCTCACTTCTATGAGAAAAACTCACCCTTCTCACGTTTTTCTCACTCGACTTCAGCTTCAAGAAAATACTCGATCACGTTCAGCTTCTTTAGAGACAAAACAAAATATCTCCAAGAAAACAGGAAATAATCATGATTCCGACGATACAATGTTCGTAAAGTCGAGAACTGTGATTTTTAAGCCGTTCGTATCGGGTTGGTCAGAAAAATGACCGTAATTAGCTCAGCTGACTGAGCTCTCTTGAAATTACGTAATAATAAAATCGATCGTCCACGTCTGTCCATCCATAATATTGGTTCCGCAAATCAAAACGAGTTATCAACAAACAAATAAAGTCCGAATATCGCTGTTCGTTGACTTTCACTATAGAGTCTATGCTTTGAATTCCTCCGAGAAGCGGTATAAGTAAGCGAGCTAATTTTTCGCGTACAGATCAATCGGGAAAGACTTTTCGCCCACCTTTCTCCCTCTCTCTGAAGCCGACACACTTACCTTTTTCATTCCTTCCTTTCGAAATTCGCGATTCCGCCGCTCGCAATGGTATTCCGGCGAGGCGACGATCTCAACGCCGTAATTATTTAGTTAGCCGTTTAACGCGCACGCTGTCGGAAATTAAGGCGAGATCGCGCGCGTAGGGGCGGCGTCCCGGCGAGCCCCTCGGGACAGGGGCGTCTCGTGGGCGTCTGCAGCAGGCAAAAAACGTCAAATACGGGACCGAAGTCCTCCCCCGGGAGCTGTTATCGAGCGATTTAACTACCTCGTTTGGACACGATATAACGCGCACGCCCGACGCTACGCAGGCCGCCGTGGCGACGACGAGCGAGGAAAAAAAAACAAGCCGGGAAAGCGAGCGAGGCGAAGTGAATTTCACTCGAGATAACGACGGACGACCGCCGTGTAATTCGGAGGAGCCGCGGTTTCTCATTGAGCCACGCTCGACGATTAATTCCCGCATCCCGTCGCCTGATTAATCGCGAACGCTACTGCGGATCGTGTTTCTACCTCGATTAACTCATTGCCCTCTTTTGCGCGCTTGTGTTTATACGTCTCACGGGTTATAATTATTCGCGAACGACGATTAATGCCGGTGTATAGCGATTCACGTGAACGGTCGTCGGACAGTGTCGCCAGCTCAGCTATTAATCAATCGGTAATTAACGGCGAACGGAAGTGTATCGGTGCGCCGGTGATAAAATCGTACGGGACGCCCGTTGTTTATATCCTCCTCCTCTGATCTTCTTTCCGTTCCTCACGTCTCTCACTCATTCTCTTTCGCTTCCTGCTGCAACATACTTTAAACAATGAGCGGGTGATCGAGATAAACCGTCGACGGTTACCATCGGCGGCTTGTTTTGCATACCGAAAAATCGACGTCGATAAGACGCGCGTACGTGCACCGCTCTGGCTGCAATCAGCGCGATTATTTACGCTGGCCGATGCAATGCGCCAGATATGAGGGGAGAGAGGAGAGAGAGAGAGATAGTGAGAGGAGTTGTCAGCATCCTCGGCGAAGTGCATCCGCTGCACTTTGAGAAACGCAACTTGGGCGACAACGAGTCCGTCCCGGGTCTCGCAGATCGACGACGCGTCAGCGAGCCGGCGACGTCGTCGTCGTCAACGTGGCCGTCGCCGGCTGAAGAGCCGTTGCTGCCGACGATAACGGAACCGCTGTTCTCGGTACCCGGTGTCTGGTGACAGAGAAACGTGCGTGTATCGCCTAAACGCGAGATAACGCGGCGATGCTGATTAAGATGATCGAGGCGGCGCCGCGTTTTCGCTCGCGCGTCTCGCCGCGTCTCTTCTCAAAATTTTCTCTGACGCGCGGCGTATCGCGTTGCAGGCCGTGCCTGGGGCTCCCCCGGTGCCGCTCTAATTTGTTGGAAGGCTGCTAGGCCACGCCGTTAGTCTATGAATAATACAATATGTGAAAACATGACGGCACCGGGACGGGCTTCGCGCCACCGGAGAGCGCCCGATCAGACAATTCGCGTCTGTAACTCGCGCTCCCGCCTCGATGAAAATCGCTCCCGTGACGTTCATTAAAAAAAAAAAATCACGGGAAAAAATCATCGTGAATCGACGATAGATATTTTCATATGTGAGCAAGAATGTTACAACGTTCTTGGAAAATTGTTAGTCTTGAATTGAGTGCAAGTAATACTTGCATCATCTAAACTGAGAAAAAATGTTGAATCAACGAAATTTTGCTTAAATCAAGATAGTTCTTTTTTTTTCTTCAAGCGCAATGTTTAGCTCACTGAACAAGTCGTATAATTCTCGTAAAGAATCATCAGTTGATTCAACGATCGCGATTTCGTCAGCGACTGTATCAACGCAACGTATCGTTGCGCCAACGCGTAATTCGTTCAGCGGACGACGATATTTCATTGAACGAGAGTAATCGCCGATTTTGCAGATCCAACTGCTTTTTCTTCTCAGCGTTTCA